CCAGTGGTCCAGACTGTTGTTATGATGTCATATAGGGCAGTGTGTGCACAAACATCACCCTCCCTCAGCATTTCGCTTGGGAGATCATCTCTGCCCGCTGCCTTTCCTGGTCTCAGACTCTGGATCGCCTTCAGTACTTCCTCAACAGATGGCACCTCAGCCAGCCACTTACAGGGGGTGACTTATTCCAATATTTGAGGCACCGCAGCCTCAGCAGGGTCATCCTCATTTTGTGTCACAATGTTTTCCTGGCTGAGGGATTTTCCCACCCCCAGGACCTCACAGAAATGCTCAGCAAATCTGCAAACCTGTTCCTGGGGGTCGGAGATTGGATCACCGTTTTTTCCCCTAATGATGGTAATAGGTGTGGCGCTGCAGGTTACTTTTTTGATGGAGTTAAATACAGATTTGTGATCGCGGGCCACTGAGGCCGACTCCATCTCCTCAGCAGCCCGCGACCACCACCCATCCTTGCAGCGCCTCACGCCTCTCCGAACCTCCGAGCGAAGGCTGCGGTAAGCCTCCTCATTCTCTGACGTGGGATTCTGTAGACAGTGGGCCTGTCGCTTTTTCTCAACCATCCTGAACACCTCCTCTGTCAGCCAGGGTCTCTGGGGAGGTCTGGACCGCGTACCCAAAGCAGCCATTGCAGCTGCATGAGTCACAGTCCTAAACCTAGCCCATTTACCCTCGACCTCAGGAGTCGGGGACGATGCCAATCCCAGCCACAAGCGATGATGAAATTCTCGCTTGCAACTTTCATCAGATAACTGAGACCAGGCCACTTTAGGTTGGAATGGGGTCCTGGGTGTACACCCACCACTGGAGTGGAAGAATGGCAGGCGCATCTTGCAGATGACTCGTTGATGGTCAGAAGGCAGATCAGCTCCACGGTAGGTCCTGGTGTCAAAGACATGGGCTCGCATCCGCTGGTCCGTCACTATGTAGTCCAGCAGATGTTCTTGCTTGGACCCGGCATGCATCCATGATGTTGTGTGGATGCGCCGATGCCGGAACAGCGTGTTGGTAATTACAAGCCCATGGGCTGCACAAAAATCTAGCATCCTCCTACCGTTGTTATTGAGCTGATCTTGCCCATGCCCTCCAATCACTCCAGACCAGGTGCCAGCATCATGACCAACTCGGGCATTGAAGTCACCCAATATGATGACTCTATCCCGAGGTGCCACTTTAGCCAGCACCTGTGACAGGAGGTCATAGAAGGCATCTGACTCATCGGCTTTGCCTGCATCCCTCCACGGATGTTTGTCTTCGGTGGGGGCATAAGTAACCACGACCAACAATCCTCGCCTCCGGTGGATGGGAAGGCGAGCCCAAAGTAGCCTGGGGCTTACAGCTTCCCACACCTCACCGCCACGCTCCCACGCCCCCTTCATTCTTTTGTTCAAAAGAAGAGCCACACTCTGTTGTTTAGCAGTCTGCTGCCCCGAGTAGAGGACTGTCCACCCCAGAACCGGTCTACCGGACCTCCTGAATGCCAGAGATCCAGGCGGTACCGGTCCAGCTCCCGACAGAGGAGTGGCAGCTTCTCCTCCGCAGTGAGTGTTCGAACATTCCACGTGGCCATCCGTAGTGGCTTTTCGTTGTTTCTGGAGGAGCCCCGAGGGTAGTTTAAACCACGAGTTAAACTACACACACACCTACACACACCTACAAAAAAAAAGATCCCCCGTATAGCCTTAATAGACTGTAGGGGCAAGTGCTGTTAGCGAGCACCTCCACACACCGACAACAGCAACTGCCATTCGCCACTAAGTGGCGGTGACTTCACCACAACGCTTGTGCCAGGCCAAGCGTCGTGGTGACACACCTACACACACACATACCTAAACACCTACACATACCTACACACATACACATACCTACACACACACACACCTACACACACACACACACCTACACACATACCAGACAGGTAAACAACCTTCCGGGAACATCCACTCACCTATACACAGACTCACACCAAGGTAAAGACAAAGCTAACCCGCGTAGCCTCAACCGACCGTTGGGTCAAGTGCTGTTCGCAGCAAGGAGCCGCAGCGATGAAGGCCGGCACAAAGGGGTGGGTGGCCAGCACGACGCCCGCCCGGCTTCGAGGCCAAGTCGACCAAGGGGAGGCCCAGGAGTGGTTAATATAATCGCCATCACTGTTGTTGGTGGCCGTGAGCAAGAATCGAAATCGGGTTGCTGACAGGTTCATAGCGCAGCGTAGCGCTAATCGCTACGACACGCCCGTTCCCTGAACTACAAAGACTAAGGGATCCCCCATATAGCCTGTGACAGACTATTTGGGGCAAGTGCTGTTAGCAAGCAGCACCTATGAAGGCCAACATGGGACACGAGGGGATGGGTGGCCAACGCCACGCCCGGCCGCCTTTGTCTCCCAAGTGGCGATATTTACAACACACCACACCAGGTACTCATTTGAGGCTGAGTCGACCTAGGGGAGGCCCAGGACTGGGTCAGATAATCGTCGCTGTTGGTGTTGGCCGTGAGTGGGACTCGAACCCGGGTCGCCGGGTTCGTAGTGCAGCGCGCTAACCGCTACACCACCGTTCCCCACACACTCTCATTCACACACACACACACACACTCTTTCACCTACACACGAGAGACGTGCGCCCTGACATGCCCCTTGACAATTACGGGAAATGGAGATTAGATTTACATCTCCCAACCCGCAGCAGCGCACGTTTAGTCAAGCTTGCAAAAAGGACTCACACACACACACCTCCACAAGTACACGCACACACCTACACACGAATACACTCACACGTGCAAACACATTCACACAGACACATGTACACACACACTCAAACACGTACACACAGACACGTACTCTCACACACTCACATGCACACACACGTACACACTGACACGTACACACATTCACACAGACAAACACTCGCGTGCACACACACATACATGCATACAGACACACGTACAAACAAGAGACACACATACACACACTGACACAGAGACAAGACAAAGATTCCCCGTATAGCCTGTAACAGACTGTTCGGGCAAGTGCTGTTATCGAGCAACTATGAAGGCCGGCACGGCACACGAGGGGGTGGGTGGCCAAGACCACGCCCGGCCGCCTTTGCCTCCTCAGTGACGATATTTATACATCACACCAGGTATTCAATTGAGGCCGAGTCGACCTAGGGGAGGCCCAGGACCGGTTCAGATCATCGCTATCACCGATGTTGGCCGTGAGCGGGAATCGAACCCGGGTCGCCGGATTCATAGAGCAGCGGAGCTAACCGCTACAGTACCGCTCCCCCCCAACACACAGACACACAGACACACACAAAGACACAGACACTCACTCACACTCAGATTCTGAGAAACTGTGACAATGGGGTTGCTGCTGCTCTGCAGGGGGTTTTTTTTACAGGAACTGAGTGACAAGAGGAAATATCCGCTGGGACTCAACATCATCAACATCACCATCACTCAAAAACATCACCACTCAGCATCATCAACAACAATAACATCGTCGTCGTCACCATCACGCAACATCATCAACATTATCATCATCATCACCACTCAACAAAACATCACCACCACTCATCATCAACACTCAACATCAAGAACATCAACACTGACAACCAACAAAATCACTCAACATCACTTAACATCAACACTCACCATCACTCAACAACATCACCACCACTCAACATCAACACACCATCACGAACATCGCAATCACTAACATCAGTACCACTAACATCACTATCACGACCACCACCACAATCACTCAACATCAACAACATCAACACCATCACAAACATCACCACTACCACCACCATCATGACCAACACATATTTCTGCCCCCCCCACCTACCCCCAGGGTCATCTTTGTCTCTCGCCCGCCAGTGCAGAGGGGGAGACCATGCAACTCATTCAAGGCTGAGCACACCGCGAGGTTAAGGAGGACGGATCCCCCGGATGTGCCGATGATGCCACTGGGAGGTGGCCATGAGCCGGGAATCGATTTGCATGGCCAGGAATTTCGCCCCCCCCTCCCCCAGCCCAATATTGGTCAACACACACACAAAGACAAAGCTGCCCCAGGTAGGCCACACGGCCCTGTGGGTGGGCCAAGTGCTGTTAAGGGAGCAGTAGCAGCGGCAGCAGCAGCGGTGGCTGTGAAGGCCGATCGCCCAGCGGCCTCACTCACTCGCACACTCATCAACTCTCTCGCTCACTGATCCACTCACTCAACCACACACCCACCCATTCACTCAGCTACTCACCAACTCACTCACCCACTCAACCAACTCACTCACCCACTTACTCATTAACCACTCGCCTACTCACTCACTAATGCACCAACTCACTCACTAACCCACCAACTCACTCGCTCACTTGCCTACCTCACTCACTAATTCGCCCACTCAATCACGACGCAACTCACTCATTCACTTAATTACACTCACCCACTCACTTACCCACCCGCTCACTCACCCAATTACTCACTCACTAATCCATTCACTCACACACACACCCATTCATACACCCACTCCCCCACACACACACCCAACCAACCACCCACCCACTCACACCCATTCATACACCCACTCCCCCACAGACACACCCAACAAACCACCCAACCACCCACCCACTCACCCACACTCTCACCAACTCAATCACCCATACACTCTCACCCACCAGCACTGGGGAGAGACAAAGGCGGCCGGGAAAGTGTTGCAAGCCTCACCACTCGCGAAGGTTACGTGGGGCTGCTTTGTATGTGTGGGTGAGCGTGCAGCGCCACCTGGTGTTTGATTGAGTGAGTGCAGGTGAGTGAGTGGGTGGGTGCGTGGGTAAGTGCATGGGTGAGTGCGTGAGTGTATGGGTGAGTGAGCGGTTGAGTGAATGGGTGAGTGGGTGAGTGAGTCGGTGAGTAGGTGATTGTGTGGGTGAGTGCATGAGTGGATGAGTGAGTGTGGGGGTGATTCTCTCTGCCTCACCTGCACCGTGGTGGCTGCTCGGGTCTTCTCAGTGCCCATGAGGTCCACACGTCTCCACGTCTCCTTCATGAACTTCTGGGCGACCTTGAACACCCAGGGAGGGCACGTGGCTGAGAAGAGCAGAGTCTGTGGGTTGTTTTCTGGGGATGCTGCGGAGACACGGTGGGGAGACACGGTGAGAGGGACACCGGGACATGGGGAGGGAGAGACACAGCGAGAGAGACACGGAGAAAGATGCGGGGAGAGAGAGACGTGGGGAGAGAGAGACACGGTGAAATCCGGGGAGAGACAAACACACACAGAGAAAGACAGATTGCCTCTCTCTCTGTCTCTATCCGTCAATCCCTGTCTATGCGTCTCTCCGTCCTTCGCTGGCACTCACCCTTGCTGTAGATGCATCCCAGGATCTCCTCCACCTGATCGGCAAAGCCCATGTCCAGCATCTGGTCCACCTCGTCCAGCACCACGTGGCGTACTCCCTCCTCCTTCCCTCCATTCTTCTTTCCCCCCTTCTTCTCGTCCTTCTCCACCTCCTCCACCACCACCACCTCCTCATCCTTCTTCTTCTTGCTGGAGTCCTCCTCTTCGTTGTTGTGCTTCGCGCGGAGCCTCAGGCCGTGGTTCTGGATGAGATCGCGCAGTCGGCCCGGCGTGCCCACAAGCACGTCCAGCCCAGAACGGATCTGCTGCACTGTGGGGGTGAGGAGGGGGGGGGGTAGTGGTGAGGGGGGCGAGGAGAGCGCGGCGAGACATGAACAAAGATGCCACTGCGAATTATGATGGTGATGATCACCATGGTGAGTGTCCGTACGAGTTGAGTGACAAGTGATTATCGAGCGGTGAGCGACGCACTCTGGGGCCCGTATGCTGTGCCCCAAGTCGAAGCGGGCCCACGCATAGAGGGGTGACTGAGTGTCTGCGTGAGCGAGTGTCTGTGTGAGTGCCTGGGGAAAGAACTGTGAACCGATCTCTGACCCCCAGGAACAGGTTTGCAGATTTACTGAGCATTTCTGTGAGGTCCTGGGGGAGGGGATATCCCTCAGCCTGGAAAACATCGTGGGGCAAATGGGGATGACCCTGCTGAGGCTGCCGTGCCTCAAATACTGGAAGAAAAAGTCACCCCCTGTGAGTGGGTGGCTGAGGTGCCATCTGTTCAAGTACAGAAGGCGGTCCAGAGTCTGAGACCAAGAAAGGCACCAGGCAGAGATGATCTCCCATCATCTCTGCCCTGGTGGTCCCCCTCTTTAGAAAGGGGGACCCCCGCAGAATGTAACAACTACAGGGGCATCTCCCTCCTCAGTGTGCCGGGAAAGGTCCTGACAAGGAACGTTCAACATCGCCTTGCCAGGCCATGCTGAGGAGAGGCTTGCGAAGCCCCGATGTGGTTTCAGGAAAGGGCGGTCCTGCACATATGCCATACATCTCTGCTTTATTGACCTGGTCAAGGCCGATGATACCATGAGTAGGCCTGGGCTCTGGGTTGTTCTTCATGCTTTCGGAGTCCTTAACTCTCTATTGACAATCATTAAGGACCTTCATGATGGTGAGCGGGCCCGGGTAAAACTACGTGGCCGGGAGTCGGAGCCATTCCCTGTTCACCTTGGGGTGCGACAGGGATTTCCTCTGACTCCCACATTATATAACATATATTGTAACCACGTAGTTTGTGAAGCCTTCGATGGTTGTACCAGAGGAATTTTCATCTGGTACAGATACAATGGGAGGCTAACCGATGCCTGGGTGCATTCAAGGGATGTCTCCCTATTGGTCAACCATGTTATGTATGCCGATTATCTGGTGATTTCTGCTCACTCAGAGGAGGAGTTGGAGGCCCTGCTGCTTAACCTGGAGTGTGCCACTAAGAGGAGGAGTCTTACCATCAGCCCCACCCAAACTAAGCACCTGCCTGGGTATTTTGAGCCATCAAATACTCCACCCCCTCAACTCCCAATTGGTGATGGGGTAGTTGTGGAGAGAGTGGCGAGTTTCCAATACCTGGGCAGTGTGCTCATGACCAGCTCCGGTTTGACAGCAGAGGTCTCACTCCGAATCAGTTGAGCGGCATTAGCTTTTCATCGGTTGCATAACGCTGTGTGGAAGCTACCTGGTCTGTTGCTCCACACGAAGCTTCAAGTCTTCTCGGCCACAGTCATGCCCTCCCTTTTTTACACTGAATGTAACATCGTCACTGGTTAGAAACATTTAGGGTGGCCTGCTTACAATCCATCCTGGGTTTAACCAGGATGGATTGTGAGGAGCTCACAAATACTTGAAAGATCTGGACAAAGTCCCATCGGTGAACTCCTCCGGCAGGCAAGACTGCGTTAACTGGGTCATGTAGCCCACAAGCCCAGCCACCACATGCCTAAACAGCTTTTGTGCGGCCGGATAGAGGTGGCTAAATGGGCATGGAATGAGCTATAGAGGAGATGGAGTGATGTGGTACAGGAGGATGTGCAGCTGAGTGGACAGCGGTGTCAAGATCAGCCTCTGTGGAGGAGGCACGTTAAGGACGCTACTGGGCAGTTGGAGGAAGTCGCCCTCCAGAAACAACGGAGGGCAAAGGAGCGAAGCTCACAACGAGCGGAACGGCGGGTGGCTAAAGCACTGAAAGTTGGCAGAGTAAGGGGCACAGGTCGTGCATCGGCCAGTCATCTCAGTCAGTCGACCCATGGCACCTGGGTCTGTCCCGTGACCTCCTGCCAGCGGGCATTCGACACTTCATGTAGCCTTAACGTGCACATAGCCTGGCACAAGCGCTGTGGTGACGTCACCACAACTTTGTGGCGAATGGCGGTTGTTGTTCTTGTCTGTGTGAGTGAGTGTCTATGTATGAGTGAGTGTCTGTATGAGTGAGTATCCGTTCGTATGAGTGTCTGTATATACGAGTGTCTGTATGATTGAATATCTGTGCGAGTGAGTGTCTGTATGAGTGTCTGTATGAGTGTCTGTATGAGTGAGTGTCTGTATGAGTGAGTGTCTGTATGAGTGTCTGTATGAGTGTCTGTATGAGTGAGTGTCTGTATGTTGTGTCTGTATGAGTGAGTAGGGAGTTAGTAACAAGTGAGTGAGTAGCGAGTGAGTCGTGAGTGTCTGGATGAGTGAGTAGCTAGTGAGTGAGTAGTGAGTAGCATACGACGAGTGAGTGTCTGTGCGAGTGAGTAGCTAGTGGGTAGTGTAAGAGTGAGTGTTTATTCTTTGAATAGTCTCACGTTGGGGCCCGTAGGCCGTGCCCCCGTAGAAGCAGGCCACGCGTAGAGGGGCCGCGATGGCTCGGAGGTCGTCGGCCACCTGCACGGCTAACTCCCTCGTGGGGCACATCACCAGCACCTGCAACATTAACACCATCACCGTCAACATCACCAGCACCATCAACACAAAACAAAGCTCTCCCATATAGCCTGTAACAGACTGTTGGGGGGCAAGTGCTATTAGTGAGCAGCACACCAATAAAGAAGGCCGGCACGGTGGCACAAAAGAAGGGGTTGTGTGGCCAGCACCATGTCCGGCCACCTTTGTCTCCCCAGCGGCAATGTTTACACATCGCACCAGGTACTCGTTTGACGCTGAGTAGACTGGGGGCCCAGGACCGGTTCAGATAATCGTTATCGCTGGTGTTGGCCGTGAGTAGGAATCGAACTCTGGTCTCTCCCGGGATCGTAGTGCAGCGCGCTAGCCGCTACGCCACCGCTCCTCAACAACCGCCATTCTCGAATAAGTGGCGGTGACATCACCATGGCGCTTGTGCCAGGCTATGTGCACGTGAAGCGTCGTACACCCGCTGGCAGGAGGTCACGGGGCACACACAGGTGCCATGGGTCGAGTGACTGAGATGAGTGGCCGATGTGCCACCTGTGCCTCCTATTGTGCCAAGTTGCTGTGCTTTAGCCACCCGGTGCTCCGCTCGTTGTTGTGAGCGTCGCTCCTCCGCCCTCCGTTGTTGTTGGAGGGTGACTGCCTCCAACTGCCCAGTAGCATTCTTCACAAGCCTCCTTCACAGAGGCCAATCTTGACACTGCTGGTACCAGTCATTGGCAAGTCCACTCAGCTCCACATCCTCCTGTACCACATCACTCCATCTCTACTCCAGCCCGTGCTGCGCCCGTTTAGGTCCCTCTATCCGGACGAACAAAAGCTGTTTAGGCATGCGGTGGCTGGGCATGTGGGCTACATGACCCAGCCAATGCAGCCTTGCCTGCCGGAAGAGTTCACCGATGGGACTTTGTCCAGATCTTTCAAGGATTTGTGAGCTCCTCACACAATCCAGCCTGGTTAAACCCAGGATGGATCGTAGGCTGGCCAGTCTAAATGTTTATAACCGGCGAAAATGTTCCATTAGGGGGGTTCATGTTTCGCAAGCGTAGAGAAGGGAGGGAATGACCGTGGCCGAGACGACCTTAAGCTTCGTGTGGAGTGACAGACCAGGTAGCTTCCACACAGCGTTACGCAACCAATGAAAAGATATTGTCGCTCAACTGATTCGGAGTGAGACCTCTGCTGTCAAACGGGAGGCGCTCATGAGCACACTGCCCACAGCTATCGGAAGCTCTCCATTCTCTCCACAACTGCCCCATCACCAATTGGGAGTTGTGGGGGTGGAGTGTCCGATGGTACAAAATACCCAGACAGGTGCTTAGTTTTGGTGGGACTGATGGAAAGGCCCCACCTCTTAGTGGCACACTCCAGGTTCAGCAGCAGCTCCTCAAACTCCTCCTCTAAGTGAGCAGCAATCACCAGATCATCAAAAGACATAACATGGTTGACCAATAGGGAGCCATCCCTTGACCGCACCCGGGCATCCATTAGCCATTGTATCTGTACCAGATGGAAATTCCTCCGATACAGAAATTGAAGGATTCATGACCTACGTGGTCAAAATATATGTTAAATAATGTGGGAGCCAGAGGACATCCCCGTCGCACTCCAAGGTGAACAGGGAATGGCTCCGACTCCCGGCCACGTAGTTTTACCTGGGCCCGCTCACCGTCATGAAGGTCCTTAATGATCGTAAGCAGAGTCAAGGACTCCGAAAGCATGAAGAACAACCCAGAGCCCAGGTCTACTGATGGCATCATAGGCCTTGACCAGGTCAATGAAGCAGAGATGTAGGTCTTGTTAGAATTCCCTACAACTCTGCTGTAGCAGACGGACAGAAAATATGGCATCTGTGCAGGACCGTCCTTTCCTGAATCCACATTGGGGCTCGGCAATCCTCTCCTCAGCGTGCCTGGCAAGGCGATGTTGAACAATCCTTGCCAGGACCATTCCCAGCAAATTTAGGACATGCCCCTGTAGTTGTTACAGTCTGTGCGGTCACTCTTCTTAAAGAGGGGGACCACCTGGGCATCCTTCCAATCCTGTGGAACCCGTCCAGTGGTCCAGACTGTTATGATGTCATGTAGGGCAGTCTGTGCACAAATGGCACCATCCCTCAGCATTTTGCTTGGGAGATCATCTCTGCCCAGTGCCTTTTCTGGTCTCAGACTCTGGATCGCCTTTAGTACTTTAACATATAGTACCTCAGCCAGCCACTTACAGGGGGTGACTTCTTCCTCCAATATTTGAGGCACCGCAGCCTCAACAGGGTAATCCCCACTTTGCCCCATGATGTTTTCCAGGCTGAGGGATTTCCCCTCCCCCAGGACCTCAAAGAAATGCTCTGCAAATCTGCAAACCTCTTCGTGGGGGTCAGAAATCAGATCAAAGTTCTTTCCCCCAATGATGGTAATAGGTGTGGCGCTGCAAATTAATTTATTGATGGAATTAAAGAATGATTTGTGGTCGCAGGTCACTAAGGCAGATTCCAACTCCTCAGCAACCACTACCCATCCTTCCAGCGCCGCACGGCTCTCTGAATCTCCGAGCGAAGGCTGCGGCAAGCCTCCTCATTCTCTGACGTAGGATGCTGTAGATGAAGAGAGTGGGCCTGTCTCTTTTTCTCAGTCAGCCTAAACACCTCCTTTGTCAGCCAGGGTCTCTGGGGAGGTCTGGACCGTGTACCCAATGCAGCCATTGCAGCTGCATAAGCCAGTCCTAAACCTCACGCATTTCCCCTTGACATCAGGAGTGGGGGACGATGCCAAAACCAGCTGCAAACGATGATTACATTCTCACTTCCAACTTTCATCAGGTAGCTGAGACCAGGCCACTATGGGTTTAAATGGGGTCCTGGGTGGACACCCACCACAGGAGTAGAATGACAGGCGCATTTTACAGATGACAGGTCGATAGTGAGTGGGCAGATAAGCTCCACGGTTGGTCATGGTGTCAAGGACATGGGCCCACATTCGCTGTTCCGTCACAATGTAGTCCAGCAGATGTTCTTGCTTGGACCCGGCAAGCATCCATGATGTGTGGATGCGCCGATTCCGGAACAGTGTGTTGGTAATTAAAAGCCCATGGGCTGCACAAAAATCTAGCAGCTTCCTACTGTTGTTATTGAGCTGATCTGGCCCGTGCATTCCAATCACTCCAGACCAGGTGCCAGCATCATAACCAACTCGGGCATTCAAGTCACCCAACACGATGGGTCTATCCCGAGGGGCCACTTTAGCTTGCACCTGTGACAGGTCATAGAAGGCATCTGACTCATCGGCCTTGCCTGTATTCCTCCACGGATGTTCGTCTTAGGTGGGGACATAAGTAACCATGACCACCACTCCTCGCCTCTGTTTGAGGGGAAGACGAGCCCAAAGTAGCCTGGGGGCTTACAGCTTTCCACACCTCACCGCCACACTCCCACACCCCCTTCATTCTTTTGTTCAGAAGAAGAGCCACTCCCTTTTGTTTGGCAGTCTCCTGCCCCGAGTAGAGAACCATCCATCCATCATGGTGGCAGGAGCCAGAGCCGGTCCACCAGACCTCCTGAATACCACAGAGATCCAGGCTGTACAGGTCCAGTCCCAACAGAGGAGTGGCAGCCTCTCCTCCGCAGTGGGCGTTTGAATATTCCACGTGGCCACCCGCAGTGGCTTTTTGCCGTTTCTGGAGGAACCGAGGGTAAGCATTTCATCTCCTGGCTCCGCCAAATGGGGTTTGGCCAGGAGACGTCGTGGACGCCTGTGCTCCCGTGGTATCGTGATTTGAAGGTGGAGAGGTTACCAGCCCCTCGCACCCGTCCAGAGCCCCCATTTGGCTGCTGTGGTGGCTACAAACGCCATGAGGGGAGTGGCCAATCTAAATTGGCCCTCCCCCCATGGCACTGCTCACCAGTGTTGCCGTCCGGCACCAACAAGGAGGCAGGGGGTTGTTTTGCCGGACTCCCGCTCCTCACACACACACTCACAATCACGTATACAAATGCACGTACTCCACCAGCACCACCAGCACCCCCATCATCGGCACAATCATCATCATTCAACATCTTCAATAGCTACACATCAACACCTACCCCCATCATCACCTGCACCACCACCACCATCAACAAAATCATGAACATTCTCTGCGTCTCCCCGTATCTCCTCCATGTCTCTCTCCCTCCCCATGTCTCTCTCTCTGCCTCTATCTGCCTTTCTCCCCGTGTCTCTCTCCCTCCCCATGTCTCTCTCTCTGCCTCTCTCCCTCCCCATGTCTCTCTGTCTGCCTATCTCTGCCTCTCTCCCCATGTCTCGCTCTCTGCCTCTCTCCCCATGTCTCTCTCCCTCCTCATGTCTCTCTCTCTACCTCTCTCTGCCTCTCTCCCCGTGTCTCTCTCCCTCCCCATGTTTCTCTCTCTGCCTCTCTCTGCCTCTCTCCCCGTGTATTTCTCCCTCCCCATGTCTCTCTCTCTGCCTCTCTCCCCGTGTCTCTCTCCCTCCCCATGTTTCTCTCTCTGCCTCTCTCCCCGTGTATTTCTCCCTCCCCATGTCTCTCTCTCTGCCTCTCTCCCCGTGTCTCTCTCCCTCCCCATGTTTCTCTCTCTGCCTCTCTCCCCGTGTCTCTCTCCCTCCCCATGTCTCTCTCTGCCTCTCTCCCCGTGTCTCTCTCCCTCCCCATGTCTCTCTCTCTGCCTCTCTCCCTCCCCATGTCTCTCTCTCTCTGCCTCTCTCCCCGTGTCTCTCTCCCTCCCCATGTCTCTCTCTCTGCCTCTCTCTGTCTCTCTCCCCGTGTCTCTCTCCCTCCCCATGTCTCTCTCTCTGCCTCTCTCCCCGTGTCTCTCTCCCTCCCCATGTCTCTCTCTCTGCCTCTCTCCCCATGTTTTTCTCCCTCCCCATGTCTCTCTCTCTCTGCCTCTCTCCCCGTGTCTCTCTCCCTCCCCATGTTTCTCTCTCTGCCTCTCTCCCCGTGTCTCTCTCCCTCCCCATGTCTCTCTCTCTGCCTCTCTCCCCATGTCTCTCTCCCTCCCCATGTCTCTCTCTCTCTCTCTCTGCCTCTCTCCCCGTGTCTCTCTCCCTCCCCATGTCTCTCTCTCTGCCTCTCTCCCCGTGTCTCTCTCCCTCCCCATGTCTCTCTCTCTGCCTCTCTCCCCGTGTCTCTCTCCCTCCCCATGTCTCTCTCTCTGTCTCTCTCCCCGTGTCTCTCCCCCGACCTGTGGGAGCCGGCCGTATTTGGCTGCGCTGCCCGTCCCGTGTCTCTGCCGCAGCAGCTCCACCAGGGGGATGGCGAAGGCCAGCGTCTTGCCGGTTCCCGTTCGGGCTTGGGCCACCAGGTCCCAGCCGGCCATGATGGGCTCCAGGGAGAGGCACTGCACGGGGAACAGATAAGACACCCCACGGCCTGTACACACAGAGAGTGGGGGTGGTGGGAGGAGAGGACACAGGGTGAGTGGGTGGGTGAGTAGATGAGTGGGTGGGTGAGTGGATAGGTGAGTGGGTGAGTGGGTTGGTGAGTGGGTGAGTGTGCGGGTGAGCGTGTGTGGGTGAGCGTGTGTGGGTGAGCGTCTGTGGTTGAGGGTGTGTGTGGGTGAGTGTGTGGGGAGTGGTAGTCTGGTGGTTAGCGCGCTGTGCTACGAACCCAGTGGCCCGAGTTCGATTCCCACTCACGGCCAACACCAGTGACAATTATCTGAAATGGTCCTGGGCCTCCCCCTAGGGCGACTCAACCTCAAATGAGTACCTGGTGTGGTGTGTAAACATCGCCACTAGGTACACAAAAGTGGTCGGGCGTGGTGCTAGCCACCCACCCCCTCGTGTACCGTTCCGGCCTTCATAGGTTCTCACTAACAGCACTTGCCCCAACAGTCTGATAAGGCTATGGGGGATCTTTGTCTTTAAGTGTGTGGGTGAGCGTGTGGTTGAGTTACCGCGCAGGAGGGAGATGGTTTTATCAGAGATGTTGAAGTTGGAGAACGCTCCGGCAATCTGCTCCTCAGAGAGAACCTACAGAGAGAGAGAGAGTCGCACCCACTGAATCGCACTGAACCTGACGCGCAAATCGGAGGGGTCCCAACGTAATCCAGACGTCCGTCCTGGACGTTCCTGGGGCAGCGGACCCAGGCTTTACCTCCAATCTCAACGTTTACTTGCACAGCGATCTGTCCCACACGACCCCCGTGCGGGTCACGTGGGCCAAGGAGAGGAAGAGGTGGAGGAGGAGGGGAGGTGGTGTAGGGGAGAAGATCGAGAGGGGAGTGGAGGACGAGGAGGGGGTGGAGGAGTGAAAGTGGAGGAGGGGGTGAAGGAGGGGTGAAAGTGGAGGAGGGGGTGGAGGAGGAGGGGTCTAGGAGGAGGGGGTGGAGGACGAGGAGGGGGGTGGAGGAGTGAAAGTGGAGGAGGGGGTGAAGGAGGGGTGAAAGTGGAGGAGGGGGTGGAGGAGGAGGGGGTCTAGGAGGAGGGGGTGGAGGACGAGGAGGGGGTGGAGGAGGTGTAGGAGGAGTGAAAGTGAGGGAGGGGGTGGAGGATGAGCAGGAGTTGGTGCCGGCCTCACCTCCGCGTTGCCTCCCGCCTCCACCTCTTCGCCGGAGAGCGAGGAGGTGGTGGAGGAGATGGAGGCGGCGGAGAGGGGGGCCTCCTCTCCCTTTGTGCTTGCGGGGGAAGGAGGGGAGGTGGGAGGGAGCTTCCGTTTCTTGGATGAGGATTTGGGTTTCTTCGGCTCCACCTCAACCTCCTCAACAACCTGGGGAGCAACAGCAGCATCATCATTAGAGACTCAACATGGTAGCCTCAACATCAACAGACTGTTGTGGCAAGTGCCGTGAGTGAGCACCCAAACTCGACGCTTTTAAATGAGAAAAAATATTTTACCAGGTGTAAGGACCCCCAATGAGCTGGGCAGCTAGTCTTCTTAAATGCTTTTATTCAACTCACTCTGTTGTTATTGTTGTTGTTATAAACTAGTCTTCTTACACGCTTTTATTTAACTCACTCTGTTGTTGTTATAAACTATTCCTCTTACACGCTTTTATTGAACTCACTCTGTTGTTGTTATTGTTATAAACTAGTCTTCTTACACGCTTTTATTTAACTCACTCTGTTGTTGTTATAAACTAGTCTTCTTACACACTTTTATTTAACTCAGTCTGTTGTTGTTATAAACTAGTCTTCTTACACGCTTTTATTTAACTCACTCAGGTTTGTTGAATTCTTGTCTCTCATCTTTTTGTTCTATTTACCTCCGTGATTTGTTCTTGACACCTGATGAAGATCGCTTGCGTTGTGATCGAAACGTCGTGATTGTTTTTTGTTTTAATATAATTTTATTGTATTTCTACATACGTGACTTTACCGAAAAAAAACAATGAGTAATTTTATGCAGTCACTCTGTTGTTGTTATAAACTAGTCTTCTTACACGTTTTTATTTAACTCACTCTGTTGTTGTTATAAACTAGTCTTCTTACACACTTTTATTTAACTCACTCTGTCTGTTGTTATAAACTAGTCTTCTTACACACTTTTATTTAACTCAGTGTTGTTGTTATTGTTGTTATAAACTAGTCTTCTTACACGCTTTTATTTAACTCACTCTGTTGTTGTTATAAACTAGTCTTCTTACATGCTTTTGAGTTGTACGCCTTTTGGCGTCTTCTGGTCCAACACCAATGGAGACTAGGCTCTAAGAAAAGCTGTCTCGGGTGTAGACCAATCAAATTCAAGGACAGTGCATATTATTATCAGAGTTGTCTTTTTTGTTTGCATTTTGACTGCTTGTGTTGTGGTTATTGCAAACATGATGCCTTGAATAAAGGTGTCAGTTTTTGTGCCAGTTAAAAGGGTAAAACCTATTCCTATATCTTGTTTCTGGCAAAGGAGGTCTCATAATGTAAATGCTCACCCCGAGCCCTCAATACTCTGATAGTGCGCTGTTTTTGAGTTGTACGCCTTTTGGCGTCTTCTGGTCCAACACCAATGGAGACTAGGCTCTAAGAAAAGCTGTCTCGGGTGTAGGCCAATCAAATTCAAGGACAGTGCATATTATTATCAGAGTTGTCTTTTTTGTTTGCATTTTGACTGCTTGTGTTGTGGTTATTGCAAACATGATGCCTTGAATAAAGGTGTCAGTTTTTGTGCCAGTTAAAAGGGTAAAACCTATTCCTATCACTCTGTTGTTGTTATTGTTATAAACTAGTCTTCTTACACGCTTTTATTTAACTCACTCTGTTGTTGTTATTGTTATAAACTAGTCTTCTTACACGCTTTTATTTAACTCAGTGTTGTTGTTGTTGTTATAAACTAGTCTTCTTACACGCTTTTATTTAACTCACTCTGTTGTTGTTGTTGTTATAAACTAGTCTTCTTACACGCTTTTATTCAACTCACTCTGTTGTTGTTATAAACTAGTCTTCTTACACGCTTTTATTTAACTCACTCTGTTGTTGTTGTTATAAACTAGTCTTCTTACACGCTTTTATTTAATTCACTCTGTTGTTGTTATAAACTAGTCTTCTTACACACTTTTATTTAACTCAGTCTGTTGTTGTTATAAACTAGTCTTCTTACACACTTTTATTTAACTCAGTCTGTTGTTGTTATAAACTAGTCTTCTTACACGCTTTTATTTAACTCACTGTTGTTGTTATAAACTAGTCTTCTTACACGCTTTTATTTAACTCACTCTGTTGTTACAAACTAGTCTTCTTACACGCTTTTATTTAACTCACTGTGTTGTTGTTGTTATAAACTAGTCTTCTTACACGCTTTTATTTAACTCACTCTGTTGTTGTTGTTGTTATAAACTAGTCTTCTTAAACACTTTTATTTAACTTACTCTGTTGTTGTTGTTATAAACTAGTCTTCTTACACGCTTTTATTTAACTCACTCTGTTGTTGTTGTTATAAACTAGTCTTCTTACACGCTTTTATTTAACTCACTCTGTTGTTGTTATAAACTATTCCTCTTACACGCTTTTATTTAACTCACTCTGTTGTTGTTATTGTTATAAACTAGTCTTCTTACACGCTTTTATTTAACTCACTCTGTTGTTGTTGTTGTTATAAACTAGTCTTCTTACACGCTTTTATTTAACTCAGTCTGTTGTTGTTATAAACTAGTCTTCTTACACGCTTTTATTTAACTCACTCTGTTATTGTTATAAACTAGTCTTCTTACACGCTTTTATTTAACTCACTCAGGTTTGTTGAATTCTTGTCTCTCATCTTTTTGTTCTATTTACCTCCGTGATTTGTTCTTGACACCTGATGAAGATCGCTTGCGTTGTGATCGAAACGTCGTGATTGTTTTTTGTTTTGATATAATTTTATTGTATTTCTACATACGTGACTTTACCGAAAAAAACAATGAGTAATTTTATGCAGTCACTCTGTTGTTGTTATAAACTAGTCTTCTTACACGGTTTTATTTAACTCACTCTGTCTGTTGTTATAAACTAGTCTTCTTACACGCTTTTATTTAACTCACTCTGTTGTTATAAACTAGTCTTCTTACACGCTTTTATTTAACTCACTCTGTTGTTCTTATAAACTATTCCTCTTACACGCTTTTATTTAACTCACTCTGTTGTTCATATTCTTAGTTTTTTCGGTAAAGTCACGTTGAAGAGAAACAACAAAATAACAAAATATATAAAACAATAAAAAATTCTCACGACGTTTCGACCATAACTCAAACGGTCATCATCAGGTGTGTCGGTTTGCATAAATTTATTTTTAAAACGCTACATTTATTTATTTATATAAAAAAAACGTTGGCGTCACGCGCAGCGATTGGCAGTTTGCCCAGGACTAGTCCATCTATTTTTTTTTAAAAGAGGAGGGGGGAGACGAATTTTTTTATAATGTATGCTGTCTGAAAGCCACTGTAAGCGTGAACAATCAATCAAGAACTGAAATGATTTATCAAATCTTTCCAATGATTGCTAAGATAGAATCCATCTTCTCGGTTGAAATTGTCTCTGTGCTTGTATATGTGGATAGCTTCATGAACGAATCTCTCATGGAAGCCAGATGGCTTACAAAGAACCTCCGTCTTGGAAAAGTCAATGGCATGTGAGCCTACTGAATTAGAACAATGATCTGCTACGGCCGAGGTGTTGGTCCTACCGTGTTTAAGGTCTGCTTTATGTTCACGAATGCGGTCCGAGACATGGCGTTTGGTTTCTCCAATGTAACTACTACCACAGAGGCAACTTAGTTTGTAGACACCAGGGTATTGTATGTCCGGAATCACATCTTTTACAGACGGAACCAGATCACGGATTTTATGTAATGTGTTGAAACGGACCTGGATCTTGTGTTTATTCAAGATTTTGGAGATCTTTTTTGTGATCCCAGCAATGTAGGGTAAAGTGATGGTTTTGAAAGGCTCCTCAAGAGGGTTCTTCTTCATGGTTTGAGTGATAGCTTTGCGGATTGTATAGTCGGAGTAACCATTAGCCCTAAGAGCTTGGTGTACGTGCTTGAGTTCACTGCTTATGTGTTCCTGGTCGGATATGCATTGGGCTCTATGTTACAGAGTCTTGATGAGAGAATTCTTCTGTGATGGATGGTGGTGGGAATCCGGTTTCAGATAAGCATCCGTATGGGTAGCTTTCCTGTAGACAGAGTGGCTCATTGAACCATCAGGTCTCTTTTTAATTAGGACATCCAAAAAAGGTATCTTGCCATCTATTTCGACTTCCATGGTAAATCTGATGGCTGGGTGTATGGAATTGATGTGGTCGAAGAATTGGTCTAGAGCAGGCCGGCCATGTGGCCAGATGACAAAAGTGTCATCCACGTACCTCTTCCATAAGGTTGGGCGCAGAGTGGCAGTCTGGATGGCGTCAGTCTCAAATTTCTCCATGAAAATGTTAGCTATAACTGGAGAAAGGGGGGAGCCCATTGGGGTGCCCTCAGTTTGTTTGTAGAAAGTTCCATTCCAAGTGAAGTATGTATTGGTTAAACAGTGTCTCACCAGGGGGGGTACCTCAGTGTTTAGTCCTTGATGAACCAAGTCTTCAATGATTGCAATGGTGTCAGGTACAGGAACCTTGGTGAATAAGGAAACTACATCAAAACTGACAAGCAGGTCGTCTGGGGACAGGGAAATACCCTTGATTGTTGATACCAGGTGAGTAGAATTTTGTACCGCAGAGGTGGTCTTTCCAGTGAAAGGACGCAGGATTTCAGACAAAAAAACGAGCTAGTTTGTAGGTGGGGGAGCTGATAGTAGAGACTATGGGACGAAGAGGTGTATCAACTTTATGTATTTTTGGTAAGCCGTATAATCTTGGTGGCCTGGCAGCAGAAGGTTTCAACGAAAACTGTTTAGATTGATCAATTCACCAAGGTTCCTGTACCTGACACCATTGCAATCATTGAAGACTTGGTTCATCAAGGACTAAACACTGAGGTACCCCCCCTGGTGAGACACTGTTTAACCAATACATACTTCACTTGGAATGGAACTTTCTACAAACAAACTGAGGGCACCCCAATGGGCTCCCCCCTTTCTCCAGTTATAGCTAACATTTTCATGGAGAAATTTGAGACTGACGCCATCCAGACTGCCACTCTGCGCCCAACCTTATGGAAGAGGTACGTGGATGACACTTTTGTCATCTGGCCACATGGCCGGCCTGCTCTAGACCAATTCTTCGACCACATCAATTCCATACACCCAGCCATCAGATTTACCATGGAAGTCGAAATAGATGGCAAGATACCTTTTTTGGATGTCC